CAAGACAACTCAATACAATATTCTATTCTATAATATTTGACAGAAGGATGAGTGAACTAAATCAAGAGAATCCGCAGCAACAACTAGTGGAGAATTTAGAGTAGACCTTGTCGAAGCGGTGGATCGAGTCGATTATCGCAAAAATTTCTTCACAAAATCATCAAAAGGTAAATCGAATCTAGAGAATCCGTTAATTCAGCAGTTCGCGATGCTTGACCAACCATAATAATGACCGGAGAAACAATCAGAATAAAACTTCATGTATCGACAACAGATCAATCCATAACCATTGGAACTTGAAATCAAATATAGAGAACCATGAATGAAGCTCAAAATCAACAAGAAATTGGCGAAATCACAGAGATTTTAAGTTTGATCGCTCTGAAATAATAGAAATCAATTGTACTTCGCGATTCATTGTTTTTCTTCCTTGCTTCGCCAACAGATGCAATGATTAAACAATGTCTGAGGCGAAAATCAAATCCAATCCTTCTGATAGCAGAATATGATGATTCGATTCCGATCAAAACTCATATCCAAGTTCTAGAAGGAAATCGATTGGTGAAAAACAATCCAAAATAGAAGAAAAACAGAGAGAAACGAGGTGGAATTGCTTTGATACCATATTAGCAATTGAGACTTTGATGTTGAACAAAAACTAAAGCTCTCATAAAGACGAGATGAACAAAGAGAATGAAAAATATAATATTTCTGCTAAGAGTATAATATGAATGTACAAGTGACTGACTATATACAATCATAATCTCTTCGGTACCCTTTTGTCATCTCTAATAAGATTTGTTCATGTGAATCTTCCGATGCTACTTGAACATAATCCAGAACCCCCGAAAATCCCAAGCAGAGTAGAAGAGGATACCTAGGTGATCACGCCAAACTAATCTCATTTCAGAACTCGCCAGAAATCCATCCTCAATCCCTAACAGAGACTTCTTCCTCACCCCTTATAAAGCCCATCTTTGGTAGCAAAGGAACCCGTTCACGACACGCAATAATTAACACAAATCTCAACGAGGGAGGATACGAGAAAAATATTGAACAAACTAATCGGAAAAATTCTAACATCCGGTCATGCCAGAAATATATTACACCGGAAATCACCTCTCACTTTCAAGGATAAAGAAAGAGGGGCTTTCGGCTTATTTATACCCGAACTCTGGGTTAGTGCGAAAATTTCTACCTGCTTTGTTAAAGAGTGCTAAAATATACCCCAACTTTATATAATTTAAATTTTCCTACCTCAACTTTCAAAATCCGGCGCATAAATACCTGATGCATAACAGAGTTAGTTTCACCGTTAACAGTGCTGACTGTACTGCTTAGTCATACAAAACGTAATTAATGAGTCAGATTACTGAAATTATATGAAATCATTAATTACGTTTTGTATGACTAAGCAGTACAGTCAGCACTGTTAACGGTGAAACTAACTCTATTATGCATCAGGTATTTATGCGCCGGATTTTGAAAGTTGAGGTAGGAAAATTTAAATTATATAAAGTTGGGATATATTTTAGCACTCTTTAACAAAGCAGGTAGAAATTTTTGCACTAACCCAGAGTTCGGGTATAAATAAGCCGAAATCCGAAAGAAAGAGAGAAGAGAGTACATGTGATAATCTAATTATAAAAAGACTAGTGGTGGGCAATTTGTGATATAGCCCGTTAAAAGATTTATATAGGCCAAAAGCCCATTAAAGTGAGTTTTCTTTTCTCATATGTTTTCGGCAAAGTTATGGAGGGACTAATTTGTTTCCCGCGACTCAACAAAGCATAATCCTTCTCTCCCTCACATTTCTCCGGTGTATTTCTCTTCTCCGGCGTCGCGATTTCTTCTCCAGTGCTCCGATCTCGTTCTTCAAACCTTCTATGGCGACTCCAACAGCCGTCTCTGAAGATAGAAAGTCCGATGACCTAGAAATCGTCTCCATCGGAGCTCTCTATAGCGGCTCCTGGGACAAGAAGTACTGGAGTTCTTCTAGGGTTGGTGTT